ACGCCAATACCGAATCGTGGCAGAGGCGAGGTCCGGGAGTCGTTCGCGCGCGCGTTCAAGTCCGTGAATCCGTGCGTCACAGCCGGAGCACCTCGAACCAGTCCGCACGCGGCGCAGGGTACGAACCCTCGCCTGTCAGAGCGCCTAGCCGCATCGCCGAGGAGATTTCCACATCAAATCTCCCGTCCAGGTCAGGTTTCGTCGACAGTCCGATAGCAAAGACCCCGGAAGACAAGTACCCCAAGCCAAGCGCAACACTCAACGGACCATTGGCGAGCGATCTGCCGGACCTACCCCCGTACTCGCCTGAAAAGGAGAAGACTGAGCCGGTGCACACGTTGGTACTTGACAAGGAGCAGCCGCCCCTGCCCCAGGAAGTCAAGACACCCGAGAAGAAACGGGCCGAGAATTTCCTCCAGGAGGCCTCGCCCCCCTTGACCAAGGACCTGACCCTCTTCCTCCAGTACAAGTCGAAGGTCAAGAAGTTCGTCCTGCCCGAGGGCTATAGTGATCTCTCGATTGGGCGTCTGCAGCTGGCATTCATTGAGAAGTTTTCCTGGAACACACATTCGAATGGAGCAGATCTACCCGATATCTATATCCAAGACCCTGTTTCCGGTGTGCGCCACGAGCTGGAGGATCTGTCAGATATCAAGGACCGAACAGTCTTGGTGTTGAACATTGAAGCCTTGGACGAAGTAAAGCGCCATGTTGACGAAGGCATTGGGTCACTGAAACAGATCATCCAGGACGTCAAGCAAGGCATGAGTGACCAGAGCATTGCGCTGCAATTAGTCTCCGAGCGTCAACAGGAGACGGCCACCGAACTGGCCAGGCTGGCCGCCGCGCCTCCCACGATTGTACAGACGGGCGAGGGCTCCAAGGCCACGGCCGTTGCCTCAGGTCGCAAGCTGAGTCCGGGCCACCTGACCGAGCTCCAAATTTTGCGCCGTGACCTTGCCGTCATGCGTCAGACGTACTCGAACTTCCAGTCGGAGATTCAGGGCTCCATGACCGCCATTCGCTCCAAGGCGAGCAACGTCAAGGCGGCAACGATCAACGCGTCCGTGCCCCATATCAACGGCGACGGCGGCTACACCTACGTCTCCAAGGGCCGCGAGCAGCTCAACCAGGACTCGGACAGGCTCGTTACCAAGGTGGACGACTTGCAAGACACAGTCGAGGACCTCCGCAAGGACGTCGTGCACCGCGGCGTGCGCCCCCTGCCCAGGCAGCTGGAGGGTGTGGCCAAGGACATCACGCGCCTGACGATGGAGCTCAAGAAGGTGGAGGATTACATGAAGCAGGAGAAACCCATCTGGACCAAGATTTGGGAGAAGGAGCTCGAGGATGTCTGCAAGGGCCGCGACGAGCTGCGCCTTATGGAGGATCTCATGGTCGATCTGCAGGACGATCTCGAGAAGGCCTCGGAAACGTTCGCCCTCGTCGAGGCCGCCACCAAGGAGCAGCTCAAGGACAACGGCACCGGCGCGTCGGCCGGCAACGCCCGCAACTTCTCCAAGGGCCTCAACAGCCTCGGCAACTCGCTCGACCAGAACGCCGCCAAGGAGGGCGTCCTCGGCGAGGTCCGCGCCCTCATGCCCAACCACGAGGACCGCCTCGAGGCCATTGAGCGTGCCGAGAAGCTGCGCCAGCGCGAGCTCGCCACGCGCAACACGAACAAGCTGCAGCAGGAGCTGACCAACTTTGTCGAGGAGGGTAGGCTCAAAAAGTCAGGCGGGTTCGAGGAAGTCGAGCGCGCGCGCACGGCCAAGGATGAACGCATCCGACGGGAGGTCTGGGAGCGGCAGAACGGCCTCATCATGGACGACTTTGGCGACGAGGAGTTTGACGAGGACGAAGAGTTTGAAGGAGAAGAAGGCGTCGAAGAGGCTGGGGACGAGCAGCTGCTGGAAGATGTCAATGGCGACGAGGCGGCCGTCGACACACCGCCTTCACCGCCGCCGGCCGAGGGACCGGCCCCGGTCGTTAACGGAAATGTATCATAAGAGGACGAATGAGCGGCGTATGCAAAAGACAGGCGCCCGCCCTTTCCCTCTTTCCACGGCTTTCGGGACGTTGTACGAGAGTATGCATTGGGAATGATGCCTACTAGGGTGTTCTTTTTGGTCGTTTTCGTGTTTCTCTTTCTCTCTACTTCTTCCTCAGGCGCGGGGGCACCATACCTGCTTCCACACACGTTCTGTCAGTTGTCTACAATTAGTTCTCACACATAGTCGATAGCCAGGCATTCGCGAGCATTGCCGGTTGGGGTCATACATAGCCGTTGCATTCACCTTTACACTTTGGGGTGCTAGACATGTTTTGTCTGGATGAAGCTGCCTGTGTGTTTGGTGTCATGACGAGGATTGCTATTTACCTGACGCGCTGCTCTCCTAAGTTTATTTCTTAGACACAGATGGGGTGTGAAGCAGATTGCTCTCGCAAACGACGGAGTTTTTCTCTTGAACCATGACACCTCCATTCATTTGCTTATCATATAATCATAAACTCCTCTTCCTGCCACACATCCTCTCGGCTATCAAGGCTGTCATCGTGTAAATTCACAACACCAAGCCGTTCAAAGCACGTCGCATCGTCTCCATAGAGACCATTGTTGCCCAGAATCAGACAAAACGGCCCCCCGCCGTTGAGCAGCCTCGCCACCATCATAATACGCACGGTGAGGTCCCTGTCAGCTTTCCGTTCCAGCCAGTCGCCGCCTCCAGCCACACGCGCGCCCGTGGTGACGGAGCCGTTCAGCACAAGGCGGGGCTCGAGCGGCGTGTCGATGCCGATACCGCGGTGGCTCGGGGCCGGCACGACGTCTCCAAAGAAGTTCAGCAGCTTCAGACCCATGGCGGGCCTCGAGGGGGGCCTGGGTCTCCCGTCCTTCGGATCGACCCAGCTGTTCGAGTAGATGGTCAGGACGGCCGTCGCGAGCCGTCCCCGGATGCGCAGCCACCCGCCCGTCACCTCGCCGTAGGGGTTCGCCGAGCTGACGTCCGTGTGGGCGTCGAGGACCCGGAACTTCCAGTCGCTCTCGGCGCTCTTGCCCACGACGTCGCCCAGGCCGTCGAGGCACGTCGGCCCGTCTATGGAGGCCCAGCTCCACGATGGCGCGCGGTAGACGCGCGTCGTGCGGCAGCGCGAGCCCTCCTCCTCCTCCTCCTCCTCCTCCTCTTCATCGCGAGGCCCCTTCCTGATCGAGCTTTGTGTGAGCGAGCCGTGCTTGTTCAGGTCGGCAGCCCACGTGAGGCCGCCGGCGAGGTCCAGGCGCCACATGCCGGCGAGATACGTGTCGCCGGCCCTCGCGGCGTGAAAGCGCCGCCGCCAGGGCCGAGATGGCCGGCAGCACGTCGCGCGCGTGCGTCAGCCGGCGCCGGGACACCTGCTCGATGATGCCGACGCACCACAGGTCGTAGAGGCCTGCGGGGTGTCGGCCTCGCGGCGCAGCAGGTCGAGAAAGCGGCGC